TTAATTTTTTTTAAAACTATCTTTATCTAATAAGAGGGATAAAAAATGTTTATATCTTGATTTAAAATATCCTCATCTTACCCTTTAATGTGGGATTTAAATTAATATGAAAAATATAATTAACAAAAGTGAAGAAACTGAATTACAAATGAGTTAAGAATTAAAAGACTAAGTCACAATAATTATAATTAAAAATTTAAGTTATAAATAAATTAAAAATTAAGAGATTAAAAGATTAATTTTGGTTTCTAAGGACATAAAGCCATCGTGCACAGAAATTATGAAAAACAATCCGGCTAGCTATATAAACAATAGATTGACCCACTCGCTCGGAGACATTGGCACATACAAGGTATTAATTGTGCTATGGGAGTGGTGTTTGAGGAAACACGGAGATACACTCTCTCTTATGTTGTCTCGGCGGGGGAGGAGGGAAGGGGCAAAATTAAATTTGGAAAATATAATTGTGGTATCAAGCTACAAAAATTGTGCACGAGGATGAGTACCAGAAAGGCAAGCGAATCATTTAATTAACCAGCAAAACAATTGCAGTAACGTATATGACTTTTTTGCAATGCGAAGGGTGCACTAATGAACTCTGTTCTGGGTTGATCCAAAAGTCATAAGAAGGACCCCTTTCATCTCTCAGGCCTCAGCCATTGCCAAATGCAATCTCGATTTCGCTGTCAATTGTCAAATCAAGTTTGATCATATCATGCATTCCTTAAACAATTCAAAGGCCTCTTCCGATTTTCGCTCTTTCCTAAACAATAAAGTCAGAATAGGCATTTGATGGCACCCTGTTGCAGGCATTCTGTTCTGAGTATGAAACCAAGCGAATTTCAAGTTTTGCGGCACCGGGAAAGTAAGATTTCTTATCAGATCCTCCGTCTTCTATCCTACACATTGTTGCCTTAAATACTCCAAGGTGAACTTCCAACATACCAGAGTTTGTTTCTCCGAATAAAGAAGGTGAGTGTTGCATGATGGCCCTATGGAAAATTAGGTTTTTCACTTTCTTCTTACAATTTGACTGAAATAGGAATTGGTGAAATGTGGGGGGGGGGGGTGAAGCGAAACCCCCAATTTGTATATACGTTAAGGAGATAGAAAGACCCTTTTGATTTGCCTTTTCGTTGGCGATGCCACGAAGTGCCATTTTTAACTGGGGATATCATTGGACCTGCTTTTATTCATCTGTTTAACGGAATCGTGATCGAGGATATGCTATGATAGTTGCACACCATTTGTTTGACATTTTTACTTCAGGCTCCAGCCTTTTAGGATCGAAAGGAACCTTCAGAACCGCCAGACCAGTCATTGAGGCAATCCATTGACGTGTAGTTTGATAAACAAAGGGCGAAATGCGCTCACCTGCGCACCGTCACGAATCCAAAACTCAAAAGGAGTGACACTTCAACCAATCGTGCAGATCCTTTTCCAGTTGACCCTCCGTGTCACGAGGCTTTTAATTTCAAGGTAAGCTTCCGAACGGTGGTTGTCTCCTGTGACACGGAAAAAAAAGCAACATATTGCATTAAAATAGGAATAATAAATATTGAGCATGCGCCGCATAACAGACTGTAAATCCAAGTCTTTGAATCAAATGCCGTGTGAAACATATATAGGTTCAACGTGAGCTTGCAACACGTACAGACATACCTATTCGGTATAACTATCTTTCTTGTTCTGTTCTTTTAATTCCCAGAGGTGAGTCGGACTATAAAGTCAAATTCTAACAGTACTCCCTCCACATTTTCAAAAGCAGGCTTCTTTCTTTGCGAGCGAGAGCCACAAATCTTCCAATATCTTATTCCAAAGAAAAAGAAGGTAGAATTGCCGAAGTCAAATCGGCTCGCAGCTTTTCAAGGCCCACGTGGAAAAGGTCTCACCGACCCCTTCCGGGCGTTTCTCTATATAAACCACTAGCTAATTGCTCGTTGCATTCAACGCAAGAATCCGATTTACAGATATACTGACTACCTTTACAGGAGGGAAAACGAATCGAAGGTTCAGAGTCCGAGAGAAAATTTTGTACACAGAGATGCCAATGGCGAGGAGTCTCTGCGGTATGCTGTGTGTCAGTATCATCATGATATTGGTGTCATCGCATGTCAGCCATGTGCATTGCCGAGTTCTTCGATCGGAGACGTTAAGCACGGAAGGATCTCATGATTGCAGTGATCTGAGAGAATCAGAGACGCCTCTGGGAATGGCGTCCTTTGCTGTTTCTTCCAAAACCTCCAGCACTTCGGTACGAAGCTTGGCTTTCTTGCTAGCTTCTGGACCAAGTAGAAAGGGTCCTGGCCATTAGCTATATCACCACCAATTGAATTTCGTCCTTTACGTCAATGGTTTGATGTAACCTACATGTATTGTTCTTCGTTTTCTTCAGTTTTCATGGCACAGTTATGGTTAGGTTACAGTAGACAGACATTGAGCCTCTCCCTCCGTGATGGGTTCTGATACGTGAAGTTTGTAAATCCGCACTGTAGAAACGATGACAGCCTCTTGAATACAATTTATTTAATTTGCAAATATCTGTGTTGGAAGCTATGGATTGTTGCGTGTTCTGCGTAATGAATAGATTGGCGACAAAATGAGGAAGTTTCCCGCAGCTGCTAAGCACTGTACTTGTATTATATACTTTCTCCAGTACTATTTCTAAATTATTTTTATCAACCTTATCAATATTAATAAAACAAAAAATATAAAAAATAAAAATTAATAAAATTCTAAATATATCCCTCTAAAAGTAAATAAATTATATAATATTATTTTTTTATATGTCTTTTTTATTGTTTAAGGATAGTTTAGATATTTTATTTAAAATAAAATATTAGTATTAATTTAATGACTTATAAATTAAACTACTTCACTTCTTTAAAAAGTGATCAATAAAGTGGATTGGAGGATGTAAGAATCAATGTTAAGCAGTGTGGACTCGGAAGAGATGGAGGGTGGTGAATAAATTTGGGACGCTACCAAACCCTGTGCTTTGAAGTCAAGGACAAGATCACGTTGCGAGAGATGTTGACATTCCCCTGCCTGATAACGTTGACCCTTCGTGTAGCACCATTCAGGACATTATTCTCTGGTTTTTCCTTTAGCAGGGTAATATAATTGCAGTTATACTGCTAAAAGCTTCCATTCTTAATTACATAGCGGGAAAGCAGCAGTAATTAGAAAGTAATTTACATGTTATTGTTTCTAATTTATATATGAAACATCCATGTTCCTTGTCTAATGATGAATTTACTTTTTCTTTTTAAATTTCCCAGTTTGGATGATCTCGTAATTGAATAATGATTGTTATTGGATTCGTTTTAAAAAGTCATCAAATTAGTTTATCTCCTTGTCTGTGCGGTAATTTGACTTGGTTTTGCTACCACACATGTTGCATGTAAATAATTAGCAAAATGATCATAAATTATCAGAAGTCATTTATCGTTTTTAGATTATCTATTTTATTGTTTAGCTTTTTGAAACACCAATATGTATATAATTTGAAATACATATTCTCAGGGAGAAAAAAAAAAGCTTGGGAAGGAAATAAAATGTGAAAAGGAAAATTAAAGGATACGAGTTATAGAGGCAGAGGAAGGTATTGGAATGCATAAGTGAAATTGTAGAGAAAAGGCAGGAATGCAGGACCAGGGAGGCCCTCCAAAAACTTGATCAGTGAAGGACGCAGACTCAAAGTTCAACTACCTTCACCTATCTCTATTGTGCAAACCATGCTCCACTTTCTGAAATACCACTCTCTTAAGAAAGGTGCTTTCTCTTAAGAATTATGATGGACCTGCCATCAGAGACTTCACCTCCTCTACACTACCCACGACGTCTACTTATATCTGAATCCGGGCAGTCCACTTCAGAAATTATTACAAGGTTTCGATAATTTTTAAATATGCAACTTAATCTCCCCCCCCCCCCACACAAAAAAAAAAAAAAATACAAACAGCGTCTTGATTCGGGTTCGCAATATGAAAAGGCCGAATCACGAGCATAATAAAAAATATCTACAAAACATATTTTTGAATTATCTCTTAATAAGTAAAGTTAATAATATAGGGCTTAATTCACTAACCTACAAAAAAAGAAGTGAGTTAGGTTGGAAAAAATGGATTCATTTCAATACCTGCACCATATAATTTGAACTCACAACATGCAAGTTAGCCCACATTTTTAACTTTTTAATCCTACTCAAGAACAATTTACTTTTCCACATACCTTGAGCTTAGGAAGGAATTTTTATTCCAAAAAAGCATATATATGTATGGTGGTAAAAAATCTGATAATAAGTTGACAGAATTTATTGTGTCATCTTTGGTTATATACCCTAAATCCAATATCTACCTTGGTCATCATTATTTTTCTCCTTTTAATCGTATAATTCAATAGAAAATTTATCTTCCTTCCCCCATTTTTTTTTTGTTTTTGTGATAATTTGGACATTTCATCGTTAAGTGCTATGGAACTTATTGTGTTATAGTCGAAATCAGAGAAATTGTGCACACTCTCATAATGAATGAGGTGTTGAGTAGATTCTAATCATTATAATAACAAGTTAGTTACAACAAAAATGAACACATAAGCACAACACAGCCTATGCAAAACAAACGAAAAGAATATACAAACAATAATGAATTAAAGAATATAAATTAGAAAATACTAATGGCCTGACTAGTGGGTTTTCGCTTGGTCTTGTGTTCCTTGGTTCTGCATTGACTGGGCTGATGATAATTATCTTTAACATTCCCCCTCAAACGTGAGCCTCTGAAACAGAGACCACATTTGTCTCTAAGATAGATAAATTGAGCAGATGAAAGTGGCTTAGTTAATAGATCAACTAACTAATCAATAGAAGTAACATATCGAATAGCAAGTTGTTTGCCTAACACCAGATCACGAACAAAGTGCAAGTCAATTTTTATGTGTTTAGTTCGGGAATGCATGACAGGATTTGAAGCCAAGGTAGTAGCACTAATACTGTCACACTAAATAGAATAAGGCTGTGAAAACTGAATCCTAAGTTTAGACATCAACGAGCGAAGCCAAACTAACTCAGTAGAAACGTGAGCTAAAGCACGGTATTCAGACTCAGCACTTGATCTGGCAACAACAGTTTGTTTCTTTGATGACCAAGAAATAAGAGCATCACCAAAGAAGACAAAATATCCACTAATTGAACATCTATCATTAGGACAGGTTGCCCAGTCTGCATCTGAGTATCCCACAAATTCCAAAGAATCAGACTTTTTAAGTTGAAGACTCAACGACATCATGCCTTGAAGATAACGAAGTAAACACTTCACAGCTTGCCAGTACAGTAAAGTTAGGTCAGAGAGAAATTGACTTAATTTGCTAACCACAAAGGCAATGTCTAGCCTTGTGTTAGCTAAATATTGAAGAGAACCAACTAGTTTGCGATATGAAATACTATCAGCAAGGGTCAACTTATTACTATCATATTTTGACAGTGTTTGAGCAGAAGCAATGGGAGTTTTACATATTGAAGCTTTATCTATACCCCAGCGACAATGTAAATCATTAATGCACTTGCACTGATTCAGGTAAAAACCATTCATATCTTGTGTAATCTCCATGCCCAAGAAGTAATGAATAGGTCTAAGATCCTTAGGTGAGAAAAGCTTATTAGTTTACCCCCACCTATTTAAATAATTGGTCTCAATTCAGGAGGAAGAACTCAATCAGCATATAAATTTGTGCATACTTCTAGAGTTACTTCCTATGACCAAGATATCATCCATATAAATCAAGATTAAAGTACCTGATCATTGTTCTAAAAGTAAAATAAGGAAGTATCACTTTTACTGTTCTAAAAATTCCAAGATAACAAAGTAGTGCGAAGTCTATCAAACCATGCTCAGGGAGCTTGTGTCAAGCCATAGAGGGCCTTCTATAAATGACAGACATGATATGGTCGAGAAGGATCAGCAAAACCATCTGGTTAGGCCATATATACTGTCTCAGAAAGAATTCCATTTAAGAAAGCATTATTAATATCAAGCTGTCTCAATTCCCAGTCTTTAACAGCTGCTAATGTTAATACAACTTGAATAGTTGAAGGTTTAATAATTGGGCTAAAAGTTTCACCATAGTCAACTCCCAAAGCTTGAAGATAACCTTTTGCAACTAACTGTGCTTTGTAGCGATCTATGGAATTATCAGGCTTAAGTTTTGTCTTGAAAATCCATCAACAACCAACTAGATTCTGAGAGGAAAGTGAAGGCACAAGAACCCAAGTATTGTTCTTAACAAGTGCATTGTATTCAGCCTGTATAGTAACTTTCCAATGTGGAAGTGATAAAGCTTCTGTCACTGTCTGTGGTTCTATACATAAACACTGTGGATCTTGTTGAGTGAAGCTAATAAAAGGGTGCTTTGGTTTAAAAATCCCACGCTTAGATCTAGTCAACATTGAATGAACATTAGTAGGTTCAATGACATTTGGCTCAGATATGTGCAGTGGTTCAATGACTAGTGGGTTTTCGCTTGGTCTTGTGTTCCTTGGTTCTGCACTGACTGGGCTGATGATAATTATCTTTAATAGTTATTAATTTTTTCATTGCAAAATTTATCTTTAAGCTTTAGATTGTAATTTCAACATTTTACTATATTTGTTTGTGATTGAGTATATATTTATTTTGGATTGTATTGATGTAGTTTAAATTTGTATTGTGCTTTTCAATGATTTAGAAGGACTTTTATTGTTATTTAGATTATTATTTTTTAGCAAAAAATATGATTTTTTTATACAAAAAATATAAAAAGAGGTGAATTTATAATTTTTAAAACTAAACAAAATTATAAAAAAATATTTTACAGATGATTTGGCCCACTAACTCACTGCGAGTTGTACAAGTTGACAAAAACATAACTTGCCAGGATGTAAGTTATGCTAGCCTGTCTTGTCAGGCCTGCAACCTGTATATTAGCTCATATTATTTGCTCTAGTGATAAGTCATCAAAATTGTTGTTATTGCAACTTTTGTCTTATTTTTTAGGTGACGCAGCCTATGCAACAACTGCTGATTTTCATTGGTAGACAAAATATTTGTAATACTTGAAAGATGTCTCTTTGAAAATCAAAGATGCCAAAAAAAACTAGAAATCAAGGTGCATTAATGAACAGCATATTTAATTACTTCCTATAAACCTATTTATTATTTATAGGAAATATGAGTGAAAATAAATTAAACTTCTATCAGGGACTAACAGGCTGACCTATTTCATGCCAGGCCAGGCCTATCTGCTAAATCGGTTAGGTTAGGTTTATACTTTTGATTAGACCTATTCAAATAAATAAGCCATACTTATTTTTATAAAGCCTAGCCTACTAAACTTATAGGCCAACCTATTTACATGTATATTATTATATAGTATATTATCCATTTATGATATGTAATATATAATATTTTATTTAAAAATTTAGATATAATCAACTCCATCCTTTTTTTTTTTCAATCCCTTCTCGATCTTCTTCTGGATCAAACTAAAAAGCACTAGACCTTCTTCCTTATCTATGTTCTTTTTTATTATCTTTTGTATGATGAATATTTATAATATACTAGTTTCATCATTTAATTTTTAATCAATATGTTCTTTTTATATCTAATTTCTTCGTTAAGTTTGCAATTATATTTGACTTATGCATATATTGATTGCAATATTATTACTATATTTTTATATTATATTATAGTTGATAAGTCCTCTGACTTATTATATATTTTAGTTGGTAGATTAAATTGTGCACATGTAGGCTTTAACAGTCTTAAAACTTGCGAGACTTTTAAAGCTTCTCATGTAAGTCTATTTAAAAAGTTTACTTTTAAATAACTCTTTAAATAGGTTTTCATACTAAGCTAGGTTTAGATCTCTAACCTATCATACAGGTTCAAACCTATCTGCCCAAAGCCTAACTCAACCCAACTTATTTTCACATCTAATAAAAAACAAGTTATAGTTAAAATTTAACTATAACATGTTTGTTTTACACAAATCATCAAAAGAGACATGGAAGCACAAAATATGCAATTAGTAAAATGTAATGGAATCAAGTAAAGGCAGTGATAGTTTGAAAAAACCTTAAAATGTTGGAATAGCGTGGAGAGGAGTATCGAGTCTCAACATCCTAGTTGACGCTGACAGAATCAACAAAGGATTGGCAAGTCAATTCTTGCGTCTCTTATCTGCGTTATACATGGAGAGTAATCAACGTATCCTCTCACTCTGAATTAGTGACCATTTTTAAATAGCCAGCCACTGCTTTTAAACTGCACACATAACTACTTGATCATTAAGTCAACTCAAGTACACTCAGTCTCCAATGCGACTAGTGAACTTCAGAATGCCGCACGAATTGGATTTAGTTCACTGTCACCACTTTAAACCACATGGCTTGCGGCAGCTTATGTCCATTGTTATCTCAATCAAATTAAAACGTTACGCTCACCCCCGACAAACTTATAATGCTTCCCACTTAAAAAATCCATCAAGGTTACATACCTGTTCAAAGGTTTAAACCTGTAGAGCAGAGGCCAATTCAATGAAAACATTAACTCATGGCCAAGCCTTCTCTTGCCTGTTACATTCAATATACTAAAGCTCAGTTGCACTAATCCAATCAAGTTTTACCGCACATCAGATAGGGTTGTGTGTGTTATAAAAGCCAGACATTAGACTAACAAAGCAAGGCACACAAGTTAACACCTTGCTCAACTTGCAATGCTGCTCTGACTAAAGTCCAAAAGAGTAGCAAACTATTTTTGCCAAAAAAAAAACTAGTGTTATTAAAACCAAACCGAAACCGCCAATTCAACTGGTTGAACTAAGAATAGTCTCAAGTCTAGTCCGATCATCACAAAAAACTGAAAAAATGATTGTTTGAACAAGCCAAAATCAGTAAAAAAAAAAAAATTAAGAAACTGGTTGAACCAAACATGTTTCTTTTTTACTTTTTATTTTTTAATTCATATTTTTAATTTTTAATTTATACATATTTATACCTAATAAATATTATGAAATGAAAAAAATGCAAAAAATATGTTTGAATTATGTATATATGTATATATTTTAAAGTTATAAATTATAACTTGTGAAATAATTATATATGTTTTGGATAAAAATGTTGTAATATTGATAGATATTATTTTTTTATTGTATATTATTTTGTTTGAAATTTAAATATTCATTTTGTTACTATATTTTTTTTCCTACTCTAAACATATAATATTTAAAATATATTAATTTATTATGATTGGCTGGACCACTAATAATTGAACCATGAACTAATAACTCAATCGATTCAATTCAATGACAGGTTCAATTTTAATAACATTGCTACCAAGTGCGCCCCACTGTCAATTAGGTTCTCCTAAGGAAAAAAATATTTTAAATATATAATGCACGCTAAATATTGTCACTGACTCTATTCCTATTGATGCCGCCCCGCACCAAAAACCATGATTTTTATTTATTTAGACCATCATCCGTCCCATTTTCAGCGAGTTGTCCCTCTTTTACCCATTTTCTGGTGTTATCCGGTTCATTCATAGTATGGTTTTCGGGTTGTTCAATCAAACTAGGTGTCAGTTTTTCAGTTTTCCTGCGGGAACGATGAATCCATTTCTGATGTGTCAATCCACGTGTGAGCAACAATTAAAAACTCAGGCATTCGGTGTCAGTTGTGAGATGGAAATGTTAAGGTGTTCATAGTCACAGACGCAATTGTTCTATTCAGAGTCCGAGTGAAAACTCGGCTCTCGCATCAAATAAAAATACGAGGCCTGAAAATTAGATGGTAGGTTAAATTATGTTCAACTGGTAGGTTAAATTATGTTCAACTAGATCGGGTCAGTCTCAAAGCACCTATACCAGGCCCAACATCGAATTAATATAAGGATCCTTACCCATAAACTTCGATTTATGTCTCATAAAAATACCAAAAAGGAATATACCCCTCCCTTCCAAAAATAAAATAGATCTATGTCCATAAAAATATTAGTACTATATTATAAGCAACATGTGTTGTTCGCGGTGAAAAATACCAAAACCACTTCAACAAAGGTACTAGTTCTAGATTGCCACTTTGTGGTGAGGAAGCAAATGCACCCTTCACTTACCCAAAAAATAAATCTGGTACATGAATTTTAGTATTTTGCATCCATAACTTTCAAGATCGAAACGGTTTGCAGGGATACTCAGAGTTGTTCCATCTTCAAGAAACAACTAGAATTCGCGAACTTGTTAAATCATAAGCTTAGCTAGCATTCAGAGACCAGCCTTAGGTTGCAGCTGACAGGGAAAAATTGAAGTAGCAGATCCGTCCCAAAGGAACAGAGGCCTTTTTCCAATACGAGTCCTCAACCTTCCCAAGAAAAGATCCAAGGAAGAATATATGTGCCACATAGCCAATGAAAAAAAACAGAAATTTACGAAGACGCGTTGCTGTAGAACGACCCAAGATTAGAAAGGATTTGCCTCAGCCTAGTTAAAACAGTCGTCATTACATAATATACACTTTGAGACGATCAATTCCGACGAGCTTGCAGACCAGAAGAATTACCATCATAGAACAATGATCCTTTACATGGAACTTTCATAAATTGCAATGCATAAAATACATCTCAGAGCATGCCCCATCCTATGACAATTGCTGGCAAGCCCAAATAATTGAAATTGGCAACGGTTTGATCACATTGCTGATAACTCCATGCTTCCACACAAATGGTTTGACGCTATCAGCTACAAGCATGTATCATTTCAAATTACTGATAACTCAGCTTTCACACTAATGATTTACGTGAAAAACACACCAACCGTTTCTTTCAAAATATTACAATGACCGAGAACTCGACCTACTCAGGAAATGTAAGAAACAGGATCACTCAAGCAACTAACCATTTTTCTAGTAATCACAATTCATAAATCACACTTAAAAAGCTTTTTGAGGTTTCAACTGCCCCTAGGCGTACGAAAGCAGGCAAGATACGTTTATAGAATTCAGCAAGCGCAACATCAGAAGTGAATGTATCTAACACTCATGTGATTGGATGTAACAAGATTTTGAACCGCTGAAAACTAAATTACAGACACATGCTTTGAGTTTTTATTAGATAGGTTATATATGACACGGTGCCCCAAGAGTACCAAATAACTTCTCCAAGGAAAAGGGGCTGGGGATTCCTTAAGAGTAGCCAGAATGAAATTCGAATGTTAGAAACAATTTTCACAGATCGACAACCCCTAGTAACGCCATGACCATCCCCAATATCTCAAATTCCACGCTTTTCAAATGAACGGATGGGGAAAAATCAACTGTAAAAATAAGCAACCTTAAGAAAATGAATGCCCCGGGAAACGGAGAAAAGAAAACTGGATCGGCAAACCGTGATGCGAGGTGGAGAGCATATATAAAAGTTACTTGGTACATAATGGAAGCAAATCCCAGAAAAAACACAGGATGTTCAAGGGATAATATCTAATCGCGACCGGCATATTTTAAAACATCTACTGGTAGATCTAGGTATGAGATATAACCCCACGTTGAGGGTACCCCAATATACCATTACCAGACACACTGATATACTATCAGAGGACATTCAAGAATCGGACTCAGCCACGGAGGTCGCTTCGGCTGCTGGCGAAGCAGGAACTTCAGAGGTGGCGGTCTGAGCGGCAGAATTGTCGACAGGAGAGGAAGAAACGGATCTAGCCTTGACAACCTCGAGCATCCGCTTGCTGATTTCCTTGGAATAGACCTGGAGGATATCGATGCCGTCATCCTCGGCGGAGGCAGAACCACCAGCAGCAGTGAAAGCCTCTTCCTCGATCTGACCGGCGACGGTAGAAGCCTCGTCAGGAAGCATAATGCCGTAGCGCTTGGAGAGGACGGAGGGCGTAGAGAGGGTTTCGATTAAGCGTTTGACGACGGCGTCGCGGGTTCGCTGGGTGGGAGGCCATATGCTGAATGAGATTCCGGCCTTGGAGGCAGTTTGGTCTTGATTGCCCTGCGGCGCAGCGGAGTCTTGCTCCGGCGTGTGAGCTGGGGTCGTGATTTCCGGTTCGCTCATTTGAGAATCACCGATTCAAGGAAGTGAATAAGGTTGTGATATGGCTGTCGATTATTATAGGAAAAGAAAGGGATGCTTAACCCTAACAAAAAGGTATGCTTAATAGAGGGGAAGACGGAAGAGGAGTGCGAGGGAGAAATGATAGGGTGTGGCCTGTTTCAATAGTTACAGGTGGGGTGATCCAAGCGATTGGTTACCTTGAAAGCAAGATCAACGGTGAGACCTGGCAGCGACTGACAACCTATACCTTTCCCCTCCTGTTCTACTTTCCCCCTTGGATCATCTACCAGAAGCTCCTGGAATCCTAATTATTTATCCCCTAAGCAACAATTATTATAGTTTTATTTTATTTTCGTTCCATTTTGTAAAATATTTTTTTGATGATATTTGATATTTTAAACTATAAAACACTTAAAAAATAAAATTTTATTAATTATATTTTTTAATACTATCCTTCACATTATGTTCTCTTTCTTTAATATTTATTTATAAATAAGTATCAAACGAAAGATATTTTTAAAATTTTATATTTTATCTTAAAAATAAAATTATAGTGTATTTAATTAATTTTATTAATGTTTGTAATTTTTTTTAAAGTATGTTATGAATTACGACAGAAGAAATGTTTTACTTCATTGTTTAACAAGGTCAAAATTTTGAGGTATTGTTTTTAATAGGGTTGAAGAGTAAAAATATTTCAAAAGTTTTCTCAAAAAATCATTAGGTATACTTATTTTTTAATTGGAGCAATGTCATTCCAAAAATTTAAAAAGAGAATAATTTTATCTTATCATTAATAAGATTATTTTTGACAGTTACTTTAAACCTTTCTTTATCAAATAGCAGCCACCTAGTATTTTTTAAAAAAAAATTAAAGAATTTATTGCACAGGGCGAGTGCAATCCTTCCTCCCATGACTCTTATTCTCTCCAATCCAATACTCCGTATTATTACTCAATTACCTCCGACAGTAAGGTCAAGACTCTTCCCTTCCATTGGCTTAGCCATTTCCCATTCCTCCATGAATCTTATTGTTGCAGGTGATGAAGGGAGTATAATTTAACAAAACAAAGACTATATAATTCGAAAACAAAAGATAGTTGGGGGAAAAAAGGCGACAACACGAGCAACGAATTGAAGTTAAATAGAATCTTAACACCTTCAGTATGTTGAATTTGACATTGCATTTATAGATAATTAAGCATTTTAAAACCGAAAGGAAGGGAGATGGACAAACGAAGTTTTGAATCCGATTTTGAGGTCCAATATGCAGTACCTACAATCCTCTCTAATTGAAACTCAATAAAAAAAAACATCCAACCGATCAAATTAACGCCATCCTTATAGGCTTTATACCACCCTGTCCCTGAGTCCTGATCTCCCCCCCCCCCCCGCCCTCCCAAAAAAAAAACCTGAGAAAAACCAATCCAATGAATCCACAAAAAATGCGACATAAAAAATTTATGGTTTTTCTGTAGGTGAAATAGAGCCCAATCAAGTGATTGTGCGTAGCATGGACTGTCCAATTGGGGCCTGTAACCTACACTTAACTGTCTTAAACATATAAGGCCCTAATAGGTCTGACCAGTACAGTGAACAGACCTCGATCGGCCCGTGCATGTGAATTTATCCGTTCATGAGCCCAGCCCAATAGCTGTCTCCCCGTCGTTTCCAAGTCCCAAACGGCAAATACTCACGTCTTTCCGGAATCTGTTCCAAGAAACAGAAGGCCTAGCTTATGCCAGTGATCGACTACGATGATCTCAATCACTTCCGCTGAGCTAAACTACCTTGTCTTCCGCTACCTTCACGAATCAGGTCGATGTTCTTTCCATATTTAATTAAATCCGTTTTTAATAATCCAATAATGTGGCAGCTTATAAAGAACACGCTGGGAGTTTCTCCTACTCTTTTTCTCTACCTCATCGTAAAGACATTTCAGGGACAGAAAAATTATAAATAGCTGTGGTTCCAGATAAAGAAACAATCGCCTCTCTGCTAAATACACCTGTTGCTGGACTTTTTGTTTTTTGGGATTCAGTCAATTTAATGAACATGCCTGGTACTTTTGCTCTTGTTTTCTACAGAAACTTCTCTGGTTTGATTTGTTTCTGCATGTAACGACTTAAGCATATTATGGTGAAAGTTAATTCATGTTGGCTCCCTCCTAGATTCTTACATATCATTATATGCAAGTTTAGGCAAATAATATTTGTTCATTCCTTTTGATAGAAAGTGAAGTTCAACATCCTTGCGTTTTTTTTTTTTAATTTAAATTATAGCTTTCTCACATCTGTCTTAATGTTTGACTCGTTCAGGTTTTACGCACTCAGCCTTTGCTTTTGGGCACGAGGCAGGGATTGATAAAAGCAGAATTGATGGTAATTTAGTTCCGCCAGGCGCTCTTGTAACATTTATACAGAAAGGAATTCAATATATTGAGCTGGAGGCAAACTTGAGTGGTGTAAGAATTATATTTTCGGCTGTGTATAACTTATTGATTATGTGCTTGAGGACCTTAAGCTGATTGGCGTCTCTGTTAGGTATATCCAGAGTGATGCGGACACAGATGAGGATTTCTCATTTCTACAACCTCTTGACCTTATTACAAAGGATCCTAATGAACTGCACAATATGGTTAGAGCCAAAAGGGAAAACCTACGTCAACACAAGTTTGAAGCAAATAAAAAGGTGAACGATTTCAGTCAAGACACTGCAAGGGAACAAGCTCGGGAAATGGACAAAGAGAGCAAGGAAAGGGAAAATGAACATGAAATTGATGAAACACGGCTAGATAAAGAAACAGAACAAGAAAAGGGTGAACATAAAGAAATACAGCATTCAGATCAAAATGGTGCAGAGAAGGACGAAGATAAAATTACAGATGAAAATATAGAAAATGGAGCATGTGAAGGTGAAATATATATTATTATCTTTCTCCTTTTTTAATTTGCTATTAATTTTGATGAACAGCTTCCTGCCTTCCTCGAAAGCGAGTAAAATTTTTTATGGCATAGGACCTGAGCCAATGGAGATTTCCCAAAGCCCCACGTTTTTGCCTAGCGAAATTCCAACTTGTGAAATAAAAGTTTTGGAAGGTCATACCTCTGAGGTTTGAACTTGGCGTCTTATGTTCTAGTTGTTTCCCCCTATTCTATGGCATGTTCAAACTCATTCTAGTGCTTACAGGTTTTTGCTTGTGCATGGAATCCATCAGGCTCACTTCTTGCATCTGGGTGAGTGCAAGAAAATTTATAAAGGAGACAGGGCTTTTTCAGAAATGCTTATGGTGTTCATCCATTAAATAAACAATTTATCATGCCTTTTGAATATTCGAGTAGTTTCGTTTCATAATATTCTTTCTGCACATATAACTGTTCGTTTATTATTTTTTGAATCCATCAAATTTAATTCCTGTGTCCTACAGTTGGTACACATTTGAGAATTGTTTTTAGCCACACAGGACCTTAAATTTTTGTTTGTAAATCTGAGATCATGACAATATTAGTTGATGTCGTGAACTGGTTATAACTCACATATTCTGGATTTTCTTCTAGAATTTGTACTTGATATTGATAGAACTCTTCTATTCATCTTGATGTAAAGCAGTTTGTACTTGGTTATAACTCACTTTGGTGTTGAATGCAAAGCAGCTTTCTCTCTTCAATGCGTAAAAGAATTTATGACCATACTCATCTCTGTCTATTTTCATCTGTATCTTTATGAGTGATGCCACAAATTTGGTTTTAGAAATCAGATGATAGTATGATTGCGTAGAGCTGGTATATGAGTAGAGTTATATGTCATAGTGCATAAAAGATGTTCTGAATTAAACAGTTCAAAGAACTGGCTGAGATATTGGTGCCACCTCATTCATAATCACTTAATTTCTTTTCTTGGACATATTGATGTTAAGAAAAATATTACAATGTTTTATTTATCATTTAGATCTGGAGATTCAACAGCTCGGATTTGGAAAATTACAGAAGGACATATTAACACTAGCATACAAACTGAACAGATAAATGTTGTGGTGCTAAGGCACTTTAAAGGAAGAACTAGTGAGAAAAGCAAGGATGTGACAACGCTTGACTGGAATGTGAGCATATTCAGCAATATAGTGGTTTACATACTTACAATTCTCTCCACGTAAAATTTACTTTTACATCTTGCAATGGTAACTCTAGTACTGATTTGTGTTGGAATGCTAATTTCTCTTCTTCTTCTGTCTCTCTTTTCACCCTGGCTGAAGTGTTTCAACTATGCCTTTATTATGCAGGGGGATGGCACATTACTGGCAACTGGTTCATACGATGGTCAAGCAAGAATATGGAGTAGAGACGGTAAGATTTTTCATATGTTTGAACTGCTCATCTTTTAACGATGGACCTTGTGATTCTTGTCCTCTACGTACTACATTATTATCTGATGTCTTGCTTGTGAGATTGTTTAGGAGACTTGAAGAGCACATTAAACAAGCATAAAGGTCCAATCTTCTCTTTGAAATGGAATAAGAAGGGGGATTATCTTCTTAGTGGCAGCGTTGATAAAACTGCTATTGTATGGGATATAAAGACTGGGGAATGGAAACAACAATTTGAATTTCACTCTGGTAAATTGCCTTTTCCATGTTTTTGATGAAAAAACTCTTCTTCTCTATAACTACCCATGTAATAATAAGTATTCTGTAACCTTTTCAGCACCTACTCTTGACGTAGATTGGCGAAACAATGTTTCGTTTGCAACTTGTTCGACAGATAACATGATATATGTATGCAAAATTGGAGAGAATCGGCCAATCAAAACTTTCTCAGGGCATCAAGTATCTCCTTAGTCATTTAGTTTGCTCTGATATTTTTGTAATTTGTGTACCAACTCTTGAATTAAATTGACACCATGACCCTCCATCACGAGAGTTTTATTTATCATTGGTCATATGGAAGGTTCTTTATCAGTATTAATTTTATTAAGAAATTCCAAATCTCTTCTGTTTCAGGGTGAAGTTAATGCTATCAAATGGGATCCAACAGGCTCTTTTCTGGCTTCTTGCTCAGATGATCACACTGCCAAAGTAATCAACATGAAATTATTTAAAGTGGTCTGCTTAGATCTCATATTACAAACATGCCAGGGCGGAGCATACATTTACTTTGTAAAAATTTGAGACCAGTGGAAGTAGCCTGGTGTAGGGGATAATAATTGGATGTCGTCACATGAAACATCAATCAATTATTTTGTTTTTCAATTGCTTAGATATTCTCATAAGTTTAGATTTATAGAGCACATTGTGCACACGTGACTGTGTGTGAGAGTACCTTCTTGTGTTCCGGTCTCCAGGTATTACGAAAATGTCCATGGAGAAGCAAAATCCTGACATTGTGCTTTTAAGGATTTTAATACATTCATTCAATTAACTGGTTAAATTACCATGCAGATTTGGAGTCTGAAGCAGGACAAGCATTTGCATGATTTGAAGGAACATGTTAAGGTAATCAAACTTGTTGGCAGGTATGTATTTTTTTTTCCTTCATATTTTCCCTCAAAACTCTTCTCAACAAAGTTATGGTCCTTTAGGAGATATATACCATTCGGTGGAGTCCTACTGGCCCCTGTACAAGCAACCCCAATCAGCCATCGGTTCTAGCAAGGTAAATATGCTTCTATTCTAACCCCATTTCTTGTGAATATTCTGTTTTTGATAACCAACTGAATCTTATGGCTGATACTATATTCTTTTAAGCAGCGCCTCCTTCGACTCTACAATAAAGTTGTGGGATGTGGATCTAGGAAAAGTACTTTGCAGCTTAAATGGTCATAGGTGCGTAAACTAGATTAAATTGCAGTACGCACCAACTCACCCTTGTGCATATGTAGGAACCGATGCATGCCTACGTTTATGCTGATGCATTCACTAAAATTGAACAAAATTTGTTGTGTTTACCTATTTTTATTTGGAGAATGCAGTATTGTATTTGTCATGCAAGCAACATGCCAAAATTTATATCACTAAGCCCTTCAATTTTGGAGCCCATCTATTTATTCATCCTCCACGTAAGCTGTCAAAAATGGTAATCTTTGAACAGGATAAGAATAACTTATTTACCTTTGGTGGGCATTGAAGTAATCAGGAAAATATTCTTTCATATGAGCCTGATTTTCACAGAGAAGGAAAAAACAATATAGAAGTTTGGCCAGATTCTATTTGATACAAAGCTTACAGTCGTTAACAGAATGAGTTAAATTGGGCACCTTCAAATTAATTGGAAATGGGGCAGTTTAGCAGAACTCGGGATTTGTTTCTTTAAGCTTGAAAATGATCAAGGTGAGCGTGTTATGCTTTTGGCAAATTGTGATACTGATACTTGCTCTATATTGCAACTCAGGGATCCTGTATATTCCATTGCATTCAGCCCAAATGGTGAGTATCTGGCGAGTGGCTCCATGGATAAATGCATGCATATATGGTCTGTGAAGGAGGGGAAAATTGTGAAAACATACACTGGAAATGGTGGGATCTTTGAAGTTAGTTGGGACAGAGATGGTGATAAAGTTGCTGCTTGTTTTTCAAACAATATTGTTTGTGTTATGGATTTCCGAATGTAGTGCCTGGATATTTACCATTTGATTATTATTACTTACTGTTTCTCCATAGCGCCACCGGCTGCCTTATTTTTCTGGGCCTACGCTTTTCTGCTTGTGCTCGCCCGGTTCATTGGTAAGATGAAATGGAAATGGAAGACGATCCCCTCCAGAAAATTGCATAGCCGCATTTTTTCCTCGCATGTGCATGCTGGATACAGCGCTTAGTGTGCTGAAAATGCGTGGAGACGATGCATACTTATTATAAGTTTGAGCTACCTAGTAGAAAATTACCCAACGCCTGAAGTTTCTTGTTATTTGTTTTGTAAAATGTATTCCCTGTCAACATCACTCCAAATATATAAGCAGGTCAGATTTGTAGCAAAAATCATCCTTGTTGATATTGATTTGGCTATATGCATATGCATGATCGTGTCTAATTTAATTCTTTTGTAACTATATTATCTTTAAATCATCTAGGCCTCTCAAGATGATGTTATGAAATTATTGTAATAAAAACCTTATAATAATGAATAGGAGACTCATTTTCTTGTTTAATCCGTTTGCCTTTTCCCAACCACAACTTTCATGGCCAATAGATTGCCTTAATCTTTGAATTTTCATAATAGAGAATAGATCATATTGTAGAATTAGAGTGGTAGAAGTTTACGCTGATAGAAAACAAGACTTGTTTAACTCTTCGGTGTTTTTTTTCTTCCTCCAAGTCATGCCATTTATCGTCCTCTCCTCCCTCTTCTAAGTGGCAAAAGAAAACTAGGGTTACTTGCAATGTATATTTACTAGTTTTCATGAAACAATGCATGGACATAGATTCTACACCAATTCTCCCATGCAACATAACGAGCGCAGTTCACACATTCATATTGGAGTCTGATGCGATCCGCCACGATACCGTCGCCCTTGCCATAAATGCATTCCAAAGATTTCTAATACCGCATTTGTAACAACGTATCTGTTTTGCAAAGATCAAATTTCTCAGTTCTAAGCAACCACAAATTCTGCTGACTAACAATGGGATTACTTCTAGATTGAAGAATTGATGGCCCACAGTGATGAATTTCCAATACGTCTAAAAATTGCAACGCTGCAAATCAACCGCCAATGAAACCACATGAAACTAACAAAAGTGGAAAAAGAAAAACAAAAACAAAAAGCTACCTATCGTTATCTGCATGGGAAGGAAACGAGAGGAGACGAGTGTTACGTACAAGTAAACATCCACCACTGGTTACGTGCTAAATTACAAAACATTTAGTTCATTGTAGAGAGAGCAATAAAGGGAGAGAAATGGTACACAGCTTTCCCCTATACACACAAACAACCTTGATAGAATTCTCCCAAAGAATACTCTAAACCGCTTCACAAACTACAATCTAAGTCAGTTAGCTTAATGGCTTAGCATTACGGCAACCACTCCAATGATCATCATACACAAAAAATCTTGTTTTCAGATATTTAAAACTTGCCTCCTCAGTCTCCGCCAACAGTTGAAACCTAGGTCATGCCCACAATTGCCTAATGATCCATCTCTGTAACCTCAAAATAACAAAGTGGTATCTCTGGAGGAGAAGGCGTTGTTGCAACACATTTGAACTGTTTTCAAAACAACCAATGCAGTTGGAATCAGAATAACTTCCCCAACGTTAAAAAGTGGGAGAAAAACTTCAAAACATCATTAATTTGTTAAAGATACATTAATTTATGGCCATGCAAAAGGGGGTGAGGGGAGCAGGCAGAAATTAATTCAAATTCCTACCTTATGCTGTTTATATTTATCTCTTACAGCTAGCAAAGACCCGCCTCTCCTACTGAGATACAAGTCATGAATGACCAACACACAGTCCTTCAATTCAGATGATTTATACCTGGAGTGTAAACGGAGCGTGGAATTCTGCAAAAATTTCGATCAGTAGTTGACTCTACAGTTGATGTTACAAGACAAGGTTACAAGACTGAGTTATTACCCAAGGATGGGTCTTTGGGCTTAACATAAATCTGGCAAGAAACACAACAGAGGCGGCCACCAAAGAAGGCAAGAACTTCACACAACTATAATCTAACAAACTGAGCTCCGCAAGGTAGCAAGTAAGAAATTCAAACTGGAGTTCAGAAGCCTGTATCATGAAAAACGAAACGTTAGTCTGCTGGACTGCTAGTGAACTTACCGCACATGACACGCCCAACAGGGACAAATGTGCGGCATTGTGTACAGAACATCCTACCTCATAATTCTCCAAAGCAACTCTACAGAATCTTCTGCAGACACAGTAAAAATTTTATGACGAGAAACTATGGTGAGAAATTGTAAACTAAAAACATATTCAAAACAAGAGGAAACAAAATTCAATCAAGCATTCATGCCTTAGAAATGTCTTTACTGTAGGATATCCCAGTTCAAATTTCAATGACTTGAGTATTTCAGCCTCCATGGTCACAACCTTTAGAATCAATAAGGCTGTCAGGAGTTAATAAAGATAAAAAGAAAACAAAATATGAGAAGCAGCATGAAAGACAAAAATCACCTCCTCTTTGGTGTATGTGTTGTCCGTAATGTAACAAAGCTCTTCCACTTCAGGAGGCTTGATCTCTTCATATTTCCTAGTGGCACAATCAAAGAAAATTTTAAGCAGCAAGACGTGGAGACAAGGATAATAAACAAAACTGTATGTCGATTTTGAGGAATATAAAGTATTTAATCACTCACGAGGCAATTAGCATCGAAGAAACACCCAGTAACTGCAGCTTCTGCCTGCTGAGAGCATTTAACGATAGATATTTATCGATATAAGCAGCGGTAAGATAGAGAGTGTCTGAAACAAGCTTGTATTCCTCTGCTACTTCCACCAACCAATCTACCAGAACGCCTCTCATATTAGGATCAACATCCCTCTGAACTTTTTTAATGTAATCAGGTAACGGTCTTCTTCTGGGATCCACCTGACTCCAAAAGCTAAAATTAGTGAAAGTAGTAGAAAAGGTAGTTTTTCACAAGAAATCCCAACAACCGTAACGGGTAAAGAATCGAAGTCCAAGTCATGGGCTAGAATTCGCGTGATTTAACATAGACTGAAACCCTAAGGCTGGCGTCAACAGCCAATTGTATCTAATTCACCATAAAATTATGTTCACCATAAAGCAGGAGATGTTAAACATATATATAAGGAAAAAATCACTAGATTCAACCATTCACATGTTAAACACCAGATAAGGAACTAGGTTAATATATATCCTAATGTTGACTTCTACATTAGACAGCGATCCAATAATTTCTTAAAATCAAAATGAAATTAAAGCCTAGCCTTTTAGTCTTCCCCTTATAAACAAGAATAATGACCCACATGAATAATTGCTAAGATTGTGATAACTCGTAAAACTAAGTCAATAACTTAATATACCAAACAAGGCAAGCGACAAATGAAGCCGCACCCTCTTACCTCCAACGTTCGGAGATACTCGTAAATATCTGAAGCATAAGACCCAACCATTTGAGGATCATCAGCATCATTGGGGTTGGGGGGCGGCGGCGTGGTTGCGGGCAGCACTTTTCTGAGTTTTCTCTTGACACTGCCACTTTTCTCCCCCTGAATCTCTTGCCGAGGGCATGGCTTCACCGGCACGACAACATTGGGCAGGTTGGTGAGCTCTCCCAACACCACGCGCTTCTTGGTGGTAACATGCAGTTCAGCAATGGCGGCGGCGGCCCTCTTCTTGGCTGCTCGAGTGGCCCTCCCGCAATTCTCTTGATCGGACATGGCGGGACGATTGGGTTTCAAGACTAGGCAGAGAGAAAGAAGAGAGAAATGGTGAGAGGACTAGCGAGAGCGTATGGTTTTTGAAAGTTTTGCAGGGATTTTTGTTCCCGCTTCCACGGGCATTTCAGATTTCAGCCAAGGGGGAACCAGAAAGCTTTTAACTTTTAACCAAAAACTTAATTGCAGTCCCGGTAGAGCCAACTTCCTTGGGTTTTGAACAGCGAGAAAAATGAAAGAGAGGCCGAAAAAAAGAGAAAAACCAAAGTCAAAGTAATTGATTACTGAGATTGCGTTCTGATTCCCACCGTTTTCTTGCATATTCCCTTCCGTTCCCTCCTTTTCTTGATTTTAATCTACGGATAATATTTCACTTTTGCTGTTACTTATTTGGTTTTATTTATAAATTATTTTAATATATTTTATTAAAATTAAAAAAATAAAATCTATTAATCTTATTTTAAAATTTAATAAGTTATTGGTTTTGTTGTTATTAAATACATATTTTAATAATATTTTTTTTCTAACATTTTGGAAGGCAAAAAAAATTATATTAAAATTTTAATAAAATAATTTATAAATAAAATTAAAAAATCCTCTCCCTTTATTTTATAAATAAAACAAGAGGGAGTAAACATTTAAAAGGGAGAATTTCAATTAACAACCAGAAAAGAAAGATATTTACTCGTGGGTTTTGAAAAATCTGAAAATTTTTTTACAGAATTTTTAGATTTGACTAAAATAAAATGAGTAGGTGAAAAGATTCAAATGTTTGTTTACAAAATTAACAAGTATTTAATTATTGCCTAACTTTATTTATTAATTATTTACTTGCATTTATTAATTTCTTAACATTGCTTGTTAAATAATTAATTAGTTAATTTCATGACTTTATAACTTTAAAAAAATTACTTAATAATTTCATAAATTTAATTATTAATTTATCAACATGACTTATTAATTATTTAACTTAACTTGTAAATTATTTACAAAACTTATTCATTCAATTTGATTGAAAAGCATTATTATTAATTGTTAATTTTTTTTATTTTTTTTGTTAATTTGTCTATGTCAAGTTTAAATTATTTAACTTCACCTATCAATAATCACACTAATATAAGTTATTAATTATTTAAATTTTACTTATTAATTTATTAATATTAATTATAAATTACATGACTTCTTGATAATTATGTTAGTTCAATTATTTTGTCTTAAATATAAAATTATTAGCTGTTAATTTTATTATTTTTATTTATTAATTTATTAATATTAATTGTCAGTATTTTTTTCTCTTTTGCATGAGGATATTTTGATCTTTTAAGCCATTTATTTTATTTTAATTTAATCCAAAAATTTGTAGATAATTTTTTTAGGACTCACTGATAAATATCGCTCGTCCATGATCCTTAACAAAAATTCTCTCCATTTAGAACGCGGGATTTCCCAAAAGTGACCGTACCAAAATTTCGCATAACACACGTTAATAAGTCGTCTTATTGGTTTTTTTTTTTTTTGGGCATTGCTTTATGAAATAATGAAATTTCCCTCCATGGAATGAAAACGAAGTAACCATAAGACAGTGGAAGTGAGTCCTTATTCCTTAACTGCATCAAACTAATTTAAAAAAACGTAAACATACAATCTGATAAAATTCTTTATATTTTTGAAATTTCATCACAACAGTGTATCTCGTAAGTTGTAACTGAAAACTATTAGAGATAAGATAAAGATTAAAAAATTTAAAAAAATCATGTCTATTACTATTATAAATAGTACAATATAAACAGAGAAAAAATTTAATAATGACTATTTATAAGAATATTATATCAAATAACATCCCTAAAAAATGGTAAATGATATCTCTCAATAATAATATAATAAATAGTAACATATTTTTAAAATATTTTCGATAACAGTAACGAAACAATTTATTTTAAACAAAAGATGCTGCAAAGAATTGAGATCATGATGTAGTAAAATGTAGAGTAGAGCTGTGCAGAAAGAAAACGAAAACTTTAACGAAATTATTTTCATCTTGTCCAAAATTATATGATTGATTAAAAATATTTTCATCTATTCAATGAATGGAGGGAGAATGGACTAAAGATTATTGTACTTTATTGAGAGCTCAAGCATGCAAAATAAAACATTATAATCAATACCCAATTAATCAGGCATATCCCCTTCTTAACATAAAGGGGAAAGCGGTTAAAAAAAAACTCCTTTTAAGTTGTTTGATTAATGCCTTCTATAATTATATAATTGTCTTAGTCTGTCCTTTCTCAATTTAGACAATACTTCCCATGAATTTGAACACAACATTATTGATCCTGAGATCCAAAGCCTTTTGTAAAGCCTCCCTCAGAATCAAAGTTTCAGACATAAATATCAATGAGTTCTACATGATGAACATATAACTATATATCATTGAAATCATCAATATAAAAAACTTTTAGTTTTAAAAAAGAGCTGCATGTATTAAAATTATAATTGATATAATTAATACAAGTATATATTATATTCATATAATTAATATATTTAATGTATATTTAAAAAACAAAAATAATATATATAATATTTGGAATTAGATGGGACGTCCCGAGAATAATCCTGCATCTTGTCCATTCCCGAATGCCTTTCTCATCCTGTCCCAATTGTTTTTAAGCTGAGACGAGACCTATCCAAATATGACTGGGATGAAGTTGGGCCAATTAGGACAGATATAAGTTAAGCACCCTTAACTAAAGGTATCATTGCAAGCTCCAAATTAAAGATTTATGGTAGATCAAATTTAGAGATGATAGATCTCTTAAAAATCAAACTAGCTAAACCCAACAATAAAAAATAGTTCTAATGAGTTTAATCTTACAGATTTTAATAGCTTAACATTAATATCTCAAACAACCAAAAATACTTTAATCTAATATTACATTAAATATGAAATGAAAATGAAGGAAGCACCACCATCAATTTAGAAGGGCTACTACCTTTTGAAAGCAATTCACCACAACCACCATGCATTGTGTCTACATTGAATTTTATCTCACTAAGTGTTTGTTTGTTTTTTTTTTTGGATCATCTCCCCATGTGATTTAAAATTTTAATGAGTGTTATTATTTAAATTTTTCTCTCACATTGCTTAATTTATTAGGACAATGAGGCATTCTGATCTCATATCAATTCCATCCTAATTTCTAACAAAGTTGGATGACTTTTGAGACGAGACAAAACATAAAATCAAATTTTAGTCTTGATCTTTTTGAGACAAGACATAGGATAGAAGTGTCTTGATCTCATCCCATGAACACTACTACCTTTAGCTATAATGGTGGTGACAATACTACTCACTTGGTCTAAATCTAAACTCAAAGAAGCAGCTTTTTTATGTTATAAATATATGTTTTAAGCAAAGCAAAAGATGATGAGATAAATAACTTAGCTTTATCATATTAAAATAATTTCTCTCACAATCAACAATTTAAATTTATCAAAATCAGATGACATTGCTCTCTTTGTAAAAAAAATTGAGGGCAACCATCAAATATGCTACCATAAATATCTATTTTTTGGGTTAAGATGCAAATTTGCTTTCGAAACATTGCTCTAAGGACGTCTAACATCTTTAACTAACGAAAAGGTCAATGTTACTTCCAATCTTTTTAAAATAGAGCAATTTCATCCAATTTTGATAGACTCGAATAGTTAACTATTAGTTGACTTGACTATACTTACATGGCATGCCACATAGGCATCCACCTCTTTCTCTTTCAATGTTTTTTTTTTTTTGCTTTGCTGGCAATGCTTATATGGCATCCAAACTAAGATGCTCCTGCCAAAGCAAAAGCATTCAGTGAAGAACCCAAAAATCGATCTAAGGTTCACAAGCTTCAATCCCTCTCCCTTCAAATGCTTCAAGGTCGTCTCTTCCTCGATCTATCATCTATAAAGCAACCAATGCCTTCGATTCCTCTTCAAATCTGATGCCTTCGAAGATGATTCAAGGTCATTGCTTTAAGGTTTGGATACTTCAATTCCTCTCCAAATCCCGTGACTTCGATAATTTCTCCTCCACACACTTCTCTCTTTATCTACAAAGCAACCCCATCTCCTCTTCCATCGTTGATTAGCAGGTGGAGCTCTAATTATATTGAAAGATATCTCAACTATTGCTTGGCTTTGCTTCATCTTTTTAATGCAATTTCTTCCCCCCCCCCCAAAAACCTTCCTTCTCACATCAATCGATCTTAGCTTTTGTCATCTTTCGGGGTTGATTGAGTTCAAGAAATCAGCTTCTCATGCAAAAAATTACTTGAAAGGAATTGAAATTGGGTCCGGTGAGAATAAAATTAGCCCCAATTTGGCGGGTGGATTTTGTGGTGAAACTAACAAATCAAAAGGCGGCTTCTTTGGCAAAGAGAGGATTCTTGGAGAAGCTATTCAAGAACTAAGAATTGCTGGATGCTGGATGCCCTTAGCATGATACTTCAAAAGCAAATTTACATCTTAACCCTTACCTTTTTTAATAATGAAATTTGGAAGGACCAACATCACACCTCTTTTTCCCACTTTCGGCCGGAGACAATTATCACAACTTACTCTGATAAAATCAACATAATGGTCTATTCAATTCACCCAAGAAAATTCCACGGGCCTTCCAAAAGTAAAACAGACCACCCCAACAATTTTTCCCCGAAGAAAACTGCCTTGAACAGCAGATACGTAGATAACACAACGCCAGCTTATGACCAAATTTTACCAATTAGTCATATAATCATTTTGATGCTCAGTTCATCCAATGTGTTTTCACATGAAGGCTAGAGCCAATAGTGCCTGCAACCATAAATTCTGAAACTTCTCTACTTGAACGTATACTTACTATAGTTAAAATTTCGTTCCTGCTTTTGAGATTACATCTTCCATTATAACCTGATGATATCATTTTGGGAATTTCATAATAAATACTAAAAAAACATTGTAAAAGTTCTTGTCTTACAATTGAAAAAATAGCTGAATGACCAGTCTAAAAGGCAAAAGAATTTAATTTCTGAGATAACCATATGAAAGATGAAGGGAAGTAATAGTAGCAATGAAGACCCTACTTATAAAAACTATTCATCGTCTAAACTGTCCCGGCTCTTTAAGTATAAAAATAAATGCGAGGGAATCCATCCATCAAAGTTCATATCAAAACTCCAAAGGTGAAGGACGTCAAATTGCGGCACTTGGATTGACAGCGTTCCATCTTACATGTTAGAAAGTCATCAAAGCAGATAGCAACCAGCATTCTTTATATGGGAGACCAATTCTCGACCACTGTACAGGTATATAACAATGAAGCCCCCTCCTGCATTGCACAAACAGAGATCCATTCATATCCTCCCTTGGAAAGATATCAACATCTATTTATTTGATGGCGTTATAGGTCAGTTAAGTTAGCCAACTCGCAACTGCACAATAACACACCGACATCATGTTAGTCAAAAATCGTGGCCTAACGCAGCTTGGTTGACGTTGAAGCAAATCCTAACAGTTCTGTACCTTGATTGACATGTGCCATTAAGCTTCAAAATAAGAAACCGGTATCTCCGGAGAAGAAGGCAGCATTGCCACGTATTTGAACTGTTCGTATAAATGATGTTAGATCATTCAATTAACCATTTTATGGCTGAAAGCAAATAAATCCAATGAAGAAAAAAAGACGAGCAAGGAATTACCTTGTGCTGTTTGTATTTCTCCCGTATAGCTTGCAAAGATCCTCCCCTTCTTGCCAAGTACAAGTCGTGTAAGATAATCACACAATCCTTCAATTCAGCTGATTTATATCCCGAGCATTCTTGCAGGGCTGAATTCTGCCACATGTGATTCACTTGATGAATGCCTCATACAAGCTTTAGGTTCCTTTCGTTATTGAAAGCTAACTTACATTATTAGCCTGAGGAACAAATACTTACCCAGGGATGCACCTTTGGCCGGATAATAAATTTGGCAAGAAATGTGACCGAGGCAGCCACCAGAGAAGGCAAAAATTTAATACAATTATAGTCCAACAAACTTAGCTCGGCAAGATAGCAGCAAAGAAACTCAAACAGCAGATTTGGAGTCTGAAAGTGAGAGTGCCAACAATCAGTCAACTTCACAAAGCTTTTCAAATGCTAAAAAAGATGAGAGGGATAGTAGCTTCACTCACTTTCTGATTTTCAGAAGTAATGCCAGTAAACCTCCTGTAACAAGAAGCATAGTCACGCAATCAGCTCAATTTCATCCAATCCGAACTAAGAATTTACTTGAACAATACAATTAAGAAATTTTAGAGCAATCTTGCCTTAGAAACGTCTTTACAGTGGGACTTCCCATTTCAAAATTTAGGGATTTGAGTATAGCAGCCTCCATTTCTACAACCTAGCAAAAAAGGGAAGAGGTGAGGGGTCAATCGACAGAAATAAGAAAAGCGAGCCACCAAATCACTGAGGGCAATTAATGCTGACGGAAAAGCAAATTTAGATTACCTCTGCCTTCCTGTATGTATTGTCGGTGATGTAGCAAAACTCTTCCACATGCGGAGGGCTAATTTCTTCATACTTCCTACATATCAAAATGAAATGGAATTATAATGCTCATCCGTACTAAGAGAACAGCACTCTCAGAACAATAAGCAGATTCTGTAGCCTTACGATGCAATGAACATAGATGAAACGCCCAGCAACTGAAGCCTCTGCCTAGGAACTTCGTTGGCAGAGAGGAAACGATCAATGTAGGAAACAGATAGGTAAAGAGTATCAGAGAGAAGCTTGTACTCCTCTGCAACTTCAACTAACCAATCAACCAGTATCCCCCTCATGTTGGCGGTAACATCTTTCTGAACTTTCTCGAGGTAATCAGACATCGGCCTTCTCTTTGGCTCATTCTGAGAAACGAGCAATCGGAAGAGTTAGTTAAAATCGAACACAATCATATGATCAAATCAGAAGTGAATGAGTCATAACCAGTCATGCTAATCGATAACTGCGATGAACAGTTCTCATTGATCACCCATTAGAAATGACTCAATCCCAGAATTGCAAGCAATTAACTTGCTTCCGATTACGAAAACCAGGTCAACAGGGAGACCCAGAATTACCTCCATTTTGCGTAGATACTGATAAATATCCGAAACATAAGGCTCGCTATCTTGCAAATCATCCAAATTCGCGTCGGTGCCTGATTTTGCATGAGTCTGGACCGCCCTCGGGTCATCCGACTTGGGATTCCCCAGAGAGACGCTGCTCTTGGTCGTCGCGGCTTTCTTGACCCTCGTAATCCTTCGATATTTCCGTTTCTGCGGCTCCAACCCCGGATTCGAATTGACGGGATCAAAAAGGTTGGATAAATTGGGAAGTTCCCCCAAGACCACACGCTTCCTTTTAGGTGATCTGTTCTGGGCTAAGCTGGCGGCCTCTGCTCTTCTCTTCGCGGCGCGAGTCTCCATCTCCTTGAGCCTCTACGGGTAGGTCTCGGGGTGAATGGAGAGGAGAGGGATGAACACGAGGGGGAGAAGGCAGATTGGGGATGAGGGTAGGAAAGAGCGAAATGAGTTTTATAGAAAAAGATTTAGGGAGAAAGAAGAGCGCCATGACTGGTTTGTATTTTAGTTTTTGAAAGGAGAGGAAAACGAAAATGGTTTGGAATGCCGCTATAGCGAGAGGGTCGAAAATTTGAGGATTCGGGTTTTGGCGAAATTGGTTAGATTTAAAATTCAAGAAGTAGCGTGCTCTTGTTTAGTTTGTTGTTTTTCGTGTGGCGGGCTCCATTTGCGCGCGCCATTAGTATCGTCCTCCAAATTCCAGCCAGGACCCGCTTCATTGCTGGCTAGGGGAACAGTGACATGGTGCTCTCATTTTTTGATGAGTCCTGGCTCATTGAAATTTCATTTGAACGATTTTATTTAAAACTTATAAATTGTAATTACTTTTTAAAGTGTCGATTAAAAAATTATCTTTATTTTTATTCTGTATTTATCAAAATAAAATTTATAAAAAATTTAATAAATCTGCTTATCAACAATGTGAATCAAATAAATTTCATCTAGACATTATAAGTTTAATATTAAAAATTTGTATAACTTTCATAAATTAATTATCCGAATTTAATATTAAATTTTTTCATCTTTTTTATAAATTTCATTTTGATCGGTGCAATATCAAAAATAAGGATAATTTTTTAAGAAGAAAAATACACAAAACAAGCTTTTGAAAAATCTACTATCTAAATGGATTTTTAGGGTTGTTGGATATGGCGTCAAAACACCCTTCTAGATGATATTTGTCGTGCAGGGACATTGGTTGGCCATTCATTCATAGTTAAGAATCTATGATTTTTGTGAAATTTACTTTTTTTAAAATTAAAAAAAAATTATTTTTAAAAATAAATATTAAAAAAACTTCACAAAAATCAAAATATCTTAACTAAGGAGGATTTGTTCCCGACATTGATTTGAATAGGCAAGGACAATTGGATTTATAAAGTAAAATACTTAATTGAGCATACAACTATTAATAAAATATAACTCAATTCTCATAAACATGATTTTTAATAACTCAAATTTGTAAGTCGTCTCATGTTCAAATAAGCAATTTTCTAATTAAGAGTGTGTGGCAGGGTGATGGAGGCCCCCCTTCCTCCCTCAATCAAGGTTGGGGGTTTGATTTTTACTTATGCGTGGAAGGTGTTAAAACCTCTAGCCAGTTATCCCACCATTGAAGTGCCTATAATTCAATGAATTCAAATTAGCCTGGATTGTTGATGTGCTTAAAAGATGCCCTGCTCAGGATATGGGGTGTAACATGCAAAAAAAAAAAAACAATTTTCTCCAAACATGATCATTATTGACAAGGCTCAATGTTTAGCTCGAAACTCTACATAATTTTTTTGAAGTAAGGAACTTATAACCATTTTAATATGTATATAAATTTTCAAGTACATTAAATATATAAAGCAATGATAAGCTTCAAGGTAAAATTAAAAAATATATATATCCCGTGATATAATATAAAGCATGTAAGTCCAAGTTATCCATCATAAAAAATTTAAATATATTTTAACTTTTATTATTGCTAATCTTTATTCAAAAATAAAACATTAAAACTCTTAGATAAAGGTTTGTTTAGAAGGAGTGATATTGTTTCAATAACACCATCAACTTCATTTTCATCGCTTTAAAAAAATATCTAATAACCTGTGTTATTTTCATATATTAATTTAATATTTAACTAAATTGTATAAATAAAATTGTAAAAAAATATCAGAACTTACGAGCCAATCGGCTTTTACGTGGCTTACACTAAGTTGACGTAGAAGCCAAAATTTTATATTTTCCAAGCCTAGCCCTCATAAAATATACCAAAAAGAGTAACTCGCTATGCTTACTTTTATCGACGGCTTTCATTCAAGTGAGAGCCAGTAAATAATAATAAATAATAAATCCACGTAATGGAATTAAAAAATGTGCATATATGCAAAAGCTTTATAGTTTATATTCAATAAGTGTTATCAACTTCGCCCAAAAATAATAACAATAAGTGTTATCAGTTTATATGTTTCCTTATAAAGTCCAGTCACCCGGTGACCAACAAATTTGACTCCCCGCGGAAGTGCCAGACTTTTTGAGGCACGTGATGAAACAACCCTTCACAAGTGTACTGTGATGGATCAGGGTCTCTTCCTTTCTTTTCCTCCTTTTTCCTCCACTTCCTCCATCTCCACCATTTAAATTTTTTTTAAAATAATTTTTTTAAATGAAAAAACTAATGAATGATGGAGATGAGAGAAGTGGAGGGAAATTGAGGAAAAGAAAGTAGAGAGACTCCACTTCTGACTGGGATAACCATCACTGCTAAGGTTCAAGATGCTTTGCTTTTTCTCGAAACCCAACATCAATTATTTATTAATTAGAGCCAGTCTCGGTTGTTTTTCAATCAATTACGCGGACATAATTTAAGGTAAAAAACTATAAAAAATGATACTAAAATTTCCTAAATTATATATATATATATATATATATATGATAATTCAATTTTTCAAAGTGTTATAATTTTATTGAAGTATCCTGTGATATCCATATATTAATAAATTTTAAAGTTAAATGACCATTTGACTTTGATTAAAAATAATAAGTCTCAATTATAACTTTTGTTAAGTGAATAATAACTTTTATTCTATAAATCGAAACATGTTATTCTTATTATCAAGTATAATTTCTGTTATAAAAAATAAGTTTTTAAAGTAACAAGTCTTAGTAACAACTTTTGTTTGAGGAATAATAAATTTTATTCTATAAATCACAATAATTGAATAAGAAATCATAATTTATCAAACGTAGTTTTTATTATTAAAAAATAAATTTTTAAAATAACAAGTCTTGATCATAATTTTTTTTTACAAAATAATAACATTTATTCATAGAATCGTAGTGATTAAATAAAAAATTATAATTTATTAATAATATAAAATGATATTTTTTAATTTAAAACTTATTGACAGGTAATTCCATGGAGATCTCAATGAAATTATAGCATTTGTAACACCCTGATACAAAGAAGCAATTAAACAAAGATATTTAATACTGAATGCATCTTTTCCATGATCCTGCCTTGAGGGGCCCGCACCTAGCAAGAGTTCATCAAAGGCTCTTCTTAATGGAGGGGGTTTTCATTCAATGGTCCAAACAATCATCGACAAATAAAATCCAACACACAATGGTATAAAATTAATGAGTTAAAATTTTCAAAGCAGCACAGAGGGAAATCACCACAACAATCTATATCTCAAAAGCTTGCAAAATATAACAATAGGGGTATTACAAGATACAAATCAAAAGATATAAATACTTTTAACACTTGGCATTTGTACTTGAACCTCCTAGAATAGTGCATATACCAAGTATGTGAGACAGCATAGTGGTCTATTGAAAGATTTTATGATGCTTTATTGACATTATTAGAGCCATCACCTAAAAATGGTAAACAAAGAATGAGATAAATATTTTAGTAACTAAAAATAAAAGTCTAGTATATTTATTTCCCCTAAATATTACTTAATTACATCACAATAACAATAACAATTTACATATTCAAGGTCCACACCCATTTAGTAAATTTCTCTCAATTTTGCCCTCCCCTTCATACCACCAGTGGTATAGGATGCAAGCAACTCTAGTGCTTACCCGCTGAAGCTTCATAGCTTCAATTTAGTGAAGTGGGTTCTATCAATAGTGTCACATGATCTTTCTACCACTCAACTGTAGGTATAGTAGTTTAGAGACATGCGCCGTTATTGCATAGTAATAATGAATACAACATAATCAATATTAACAATATAGTCCAGCCAAGATATCAAAACAGATTATCAATAGTCAATTCCATAGCATACACACCCTTATGTGATTATGATAACATTCATCATTCCACTTAATGCTGAATTTAATTATCAACATTAATTTAAAACATTTACAATGGTTGGCAATCAATACACAAAACAATCGAACTCCTAATTACCTCTTTCCAGTTAGAAGGGGATACAAAACCAGATATCAAACCAAGTGCCCAAAATGAATTTAGCACCCAAATCTACCTATATCCTCACAAAACAAAAACCAAGGTTGTGAATTCACCAAAGCACCCATTAATCAAGGTTTCTCACTGATAGAAACAAAGAGGGGAACAAGAACACTATCCACTTACCTAAAATATATAAGGAATGAGGGCTTCAGGAATCTTAATTTTTGGCCAAAACCCCTTAGAACCCACTCCTATCTCGCAGCTCCTCAGCCAAAAAAACAAAGTCCCGATCAATCACTTGTTTGCATGCTATTGTGCCTTCACAATTCCTGTTTGCGTGTGGATAATCTCCACATTTTGGCCGGTCAACGCAAAGCAAGTGTCCCCAAGCGGATGAACGCTTTGTGAACCTCTTACGCGGGTGGACATAAAAAAAAGCATTCCATACAAATGTTATCTCATAACCACCATAAATCCAAATAATAATATAATCTCTTAATTTATCTTTACAAAACATTTTAGGCAATTGAAATATTATAGTATTTTGAAGGACTGAATTGTCATTTATATAATTCAATAAAATTTTGTTATCAATTTTTAAAAAATTGATTGATAAATATGTCGTTGAGATTTTGGATAGCAATTTAGGCACTGATTATATTCTAATTTTGTTGCCCATTGGTGTCATGTTATTATAGATAATATTATTCGAGATACTATCAAATATTAAATGAGCAGGAATTTCAACATTAGTTCAAAATGTTAGTAACTTGTAAGAGACTAGTCCCCTTTGCTGGATTCATTTCTTGTTGGTTATTAAATTAAGGTTCACTTTAATTGAGATAAACTAATAATTGAGATTGAATTTGAATCTCCCTCCGCTAAAAAAGCACGGATCACAAAGTCTGCCGAGCTATGAGTTTCATATATAGCAGTGTAATAACTAGAAGAATGAAATACCAAACTCTTAAACTGGAAGAAGAAATGCCAAATTGATAAATCAACGATGCCGATGACTAACAGTGACAAATAGCGATGAAAGTTGGAAGTTGCATGTATCTTTTTTTAAAAGAAACTCAAGAATTATTGACTAGTGTATGTCACCGGAGTCAAATTCACGAAACATGTGCTACAATGCTTAAACAAATAATAAAGTCCAGAAGTGCATTCCCGAACCAAGGCTGAAGACGGCAACAACACGCGGTGCAGCGATCTCACATATCATGTTTGAGGCAAATGGTGATCCGGGATCAAGGTGTTTGATGGATTCAAATGAGAAAAGCACAGTTCAAGGAATTGTCCTTCTCCGGTCCTCCCTGCGACTGGAAAAGATCCACTTCCTGCCACACAGTTCATTATCATCAACTTGACAAGCCATGAAATTGCAAAACACAAGGCCACAAGGGTTGGACTTTAACAGTAGCTAGAGACAGGTGAAACACAATGTTAATCGATCCGGCGAGAATCCGAATTCGTATGCGGGTTTAGGCAGTAAGCACGTACCTGGAGGTTGGAGTGGTCCCCAAGGGGTGGCGTTGATATCAATAACTTGTCCAAAATCATCCTGGTTTAAACCGTCTCCAGGACTCGAGTGACTTTGGGCATGCTGATGAGTTGAAGTTGGCGATAACACATCAACCACAGGACTACTTTGTGATTGTTGATGGGCTCTGAGAGTGAAATAAACAAGACATCAAACTTCGCGATGCACATCTAATAACTAAAAGTAGATGGAATTATTGGCGAATCGATAATTTAAGATACCCGAAAGGAAGAAAGCCGCTGGCATAATCTGTAAAGTTCAGGGTTTGAACCTGCGGCAGCCACTCCACTATGTTCTTCAGATTTCCGTCACCAAATCCATCTGCTTCTACGGGTTTCGAAAGATGCACCTGATCATGAAATTCTTTTCTATATGAGATAATCATAAACTAATAATAGCTGATTTGTTTTCGTCAGAAGGGAGAGGTTTCATCCACTTGTATACCTGGGGAGCTGCAGCTGCATGTGAAATGTACTCTTCCTCCAGAGCTCGCTGTTCAAATGTGATTTGTTTTGGGTCGATCCAATATATATATAATACAAGTAGAAAATATCACATTACTGTCACGGGTGATTTATTTAGGCCACAAAGGGAAACTTACTTTTCGCAGCTGTACTTGTTTTAGAGTTTCCAGAAGGACGTTCTCACGATATTCAGCCTCGTACAGTGTCGTGATTTCTGAAGGGTCACCTTCGAATATCCTACAAAACGTGTCAGTTAATGATCTATTGTTGATCGGAGGTAAACGGGGTGAAATAAGTTTAAGCTAGCTAGGGTACCTCAGCCTCTTCTCCATGTCTTTCAATCGAGACTTGCAAATAAAAAATTCCCTTTTAATACCCTAAGTTGTAATATAATTGATCGGTAAATTAGTCCGAACAAAGGATACATGAAGGATCAGATACAATTAATGTTCGTAGATGAATATACCTCGATTGGAGATTCTGTAATCATCGGGCTGCCTCGAAGTCAAAGTGCAGTTTAGATAACGAGTTACACACAGTAATAGGAGTTAAGCAATGCATATAATCGGAATTCAGTAATCAGTAGTTGAGCATAAAGTCGGAAGAGAGCTTTTCATACGAACCTAGGGGCTTGGTACATTTCATCGGCGTCAGCCTTCAGCTTAGTAAGGACCTTTTGAATATGCTGCAGATAGACAGGATTATTAGAATTGATCATTTCATAAGAAGCCATTGAAAAGTGGTATCCAGTTTAACATGCAATCACATGCACGAGGGAGGCCAAATTACCTCTTGATTTTGCACTCTTCAGAATCGCACGGTTCCGAGAAAACCCAAATGGAAAGAAGCAAAGCAACATAAACGGCAGAGAAAAAATAAATTTGAAATCATATATACAGGACAAGGAAACACACAAGATTATCTCAGATAATAAATTTGTGGGATAAGCGTAGGGAACCAGATTCATACCTAACCCGTTCTTGCTCAGGAAGTTTAAGATATCGTTCAAAAATGTCTTCAATGCTTCAAGACATATAGACAAAGGAAAAATGATACGAGTTTATCAAATGCATTTTCTTATTAAAGAACGCTATAATTAAGCAGTTTTGCGATAAATGTTGATGGATCACGGAAGCAGATGTGTGGCGGCATGACAATAAAAGGGCACATGTCGAAAGGTAGCTCACCTTTTGCCCCCAGAAAAGAGACTCGCTTTCCCGGACGGAGAAAATATGATTAGAGCCACATCAACGTCACAAAGTACAGAAAGTTCATAAGCTTTCTTGACGAGTCCACTTCTCCTCTTTGAGAAGGTGACCTGTCTATTTGTTGCGTTCTCGATCTTCTTGATCTGAAGCTTCACTCTTCCCATATTTCACCCAGTGGACTTTGAATCCCGGCCCTCTTCTCTCTTCTATAGAAAAACTGTATTTAAAAGCCAGTCTGCGCAATCTTCTGTGAATTGAGAGGGAAGATGGATGGAGGCCAAATATATCTCCATATAGGAAACTAGGCAAATATCATTACCCTCACGGGTTCCTCACAAAATGTGTCCAGAAGGAGAGACGCAACCGGAACTAATTAGGCGGCGAGTAAAGAAGAAAATAAGGAAAAAGGAAGAAATATAGGGAGGGCTTTTTGTCTCTGTCCGGCTATTTAGACAAGGTGACGACTATGATGAGGGAGGGAGGGAGGGATGGCGGTTTATGGAGAGACGTATAACCTGAGAATTAATTTGGAAAAGGTGGGCGGGTCTCCACAATGCAGTGAAATGTTTTTAAAATGAATGAATTCCTGCGCATAAGGCAGGAATTACATTTACCACACTGTCAGTCAGACCGAATATATAGAGGTTTGTCATGCGTATGCAGCTTCTGAGATTCATGACTCCACGAACTCATCAAAACGGACGTTTTGATCTGAAATTTGGACCCCGCTTCAGAACAAGACGAGATGATGATCGGCACCGACCTGTCCTAATAGAACATGGAAGATACTACAAGATCAGGGGAGAAGAGGTAAGTTGTGGTTGTGGAGCTTTAAGTATGGGGTTTTAGCTTGTAAGGGCGTGCTGGACAAGGACGATTTCACTGCCATGCACACAGGCAGTGAGCAGTAACAATGTTGGAATGCGTTGCCACGTGTTCTTCAATTCATGTTTTCATCGAATCTGTCTGTGGTTCGCCCGGCCATCACTAAACGTGTGACCTCATTCCCATTTTGTCGTCTTCTGTGCCCCATGCGGCCCGCCCTGTTTGTTTACTGTTTTCTATGCTTCTTACTTTGCTCGTTTCTTCGTTTTTGACGGCACTCTTTTGATGATTATCAGCCCTTTTTCACAAACTTTAACCATGATATTGATACTGGATTTATAATTCGAACAAAATAATATTATATTCGTTACTTACATCATGAACGCATTATTTTTTAGCATAATTAAATGGTCAAAGTGCAATTTTGAGCTTTAACCCTACAATAAGAATGAATCTTAATTAAAACGATGCCCTTCCGCACGTTATATAGTACTTTACTGGATGCATCGTCCCAAAACTTTGTTGATGTATTATGTATATGTCTGCGTTGTTAGTGGTTATTTAGTCCAGCTGTTACGAAGAAACAGTTCACATTCATTCCTGAAATAACATGTTGATCGCAGGCCTTGCTGGTGTATGACCCAATCGACCTTGACCAATTCTGAGACTACTCGTTTGTGTAATCTCTCCTCACAAAATAACCACCAATAACACCAACAACAAAGTAATCAAGAGACTAAATCTCTCAGGATTATCAAGTTTTCATATATTTACAATTACGAGAAACAAGTTTTTCCAAAATCTCAGTGAAAGAAACAATTTTCAGAACATTTACAATTAGATCTCAAGATTTTAACCTTTAAAACTCTTTCATTAAGCTCAAATCAAGGTTTTCAAAATATTACGGAAGCTTGAAAATCAAATAGAACCCAAAACACTTGTTTTTAAACTCAAATATGCAATTTGTATAGAAAATGGGACATGCGCCGCGGTATCCCTCGCCTTTGTCTCATGCGCCGACCGCATTGCATGAAATATGACTGCAAGCAACTGTTGTCATATGACAACACTAGAAGCGATCTTTCGACACTTCTCAAATCTCCGTTTGACATTTGATTGAGGTAATTTTGATGTTCTAACTAATGATACAAGTTGCATATTCAAACTCATTTTTTACAAAGAGTTGGACACACAAACTCATTTTTACCGCTTTTTCACAAAAACTCACCACAAGGATACCTAAACTCACACACAAGTGTCAAGAGCCTACATCAAGCACTCAACCATACTTAATCGACCCTAAATGACTTGTGTAATGCACCACACTCATACAAATGTGCATGTCAAATTTTTCCTATTCAACCTCAAATTTCATAAAACATAAGGGAGAGGAATTTCTTGCACGAAACAATCATTTTCATTCCAAATCAGTCAAAATACACATTTTCCTACTTGCACAAGTATTTTAGCCCTATACAAGAGTTTACAACTAAAATTTACTAACTCAAGACATAAAATACATATCATGGTAATCCAAGTAGTTCAAAATAATCATGTGAATCTTAGTTGGCAATTTAATCAACATTAATAAACATAAAACAACAAAATGAGGCATACTAAAAAGAATTACTCTATAATCTTATGCCTCAGCACGTTTTTCCCAATCCAGATCCGATGACCTAAGCCCTGAAAATATTGAGAATTGATGGGTGAGTATAACCATTTAGTAACCAAGTTTTACCTAATACATACGGTTGTATATCAATTGAAAACATGCAAATGGGTAGTAAACACATAAATATAGCACATATGATGAGTATAGCCATGATTCACAATACTAACAGCTATATGATCGGGCCTAAAGCGCACAAAACCATATAATATAACAATGCACATTACGAGGTAGCAATAATACTAACCATACACCCATAACACACGCCGCACCATAATAATAACAACCATATTGCTAGGTTTAAATGCATGATTAAATACTAACCTTATACCTTCCTATTACCTTTGACATGAAATCGATAACTATTACGTGGCTACGTCATTTATAGACTAACCTAGTTTTTTACTTGTGATGAGCTACTAGGCTAAAGTTAACTCACTCGCTTGTATAACATGGTTTTCCCTGATATTAATTACCATGAGGTGTCATATTCACAATCTAGCCTCCTCATGAATTGATAGAGACCGGTTAAGTTCGAGTCTCTCATAGGACAAGTGGGACAATTCCAGATCAAATATGAGATAAGAGCTACCTTTTGATTCCAACGATCGATATTAGGGCTAGCTCTCAATTTCAATTGTCGCCGCTAATATCACATTGGTTTACTAATTTACTCTTCTTCTTAAGCAAACCCCTACCAATGATCATGCTATGCACATTTTGACACATATTATGCATTTGTGACAAATTTCATAATCATCACTCACTCCTAACACACTCCATGTCATGCATATTGTATATAGCATATTGTTGCGATACCACATCAATTATCATCATTAAACATAAATATACCTCATACATGAAATTCTTCATTTTTCAAAGCGTTGTCGTGAATCATACCACTCATTGCCAACAATTGCATCAAACTTTCTAAATAACAAACAAGTTCAAACCATAAATTTCAATAATTAACTAATTAACATACAATTATCCATATTAAGATTCCTTCGATTACCTCAAACCTTTAAGGAATTAAAAATTTATCCCTCACAATGACCACTTCCAAAGCTTATTTTAAGCTTTACTGGTATTAATTTGAATCATACTACAATCATGTAACAAGAACATCATCGTCATTGCCCCATCTTTGGTAATTTTCAATAATATAATTCCACACATACTCTTTCATCTAAGTAATAAAACTCATAGCATAATCAATAAGTTTACTAGGTTTCATTAACCCACATTATCATTAAGGAGTCATTAAACCATCATCAATGATCCACAAACACTCTCAACTACCTTATTAATCATAAAATTTGCATATCTATAGCTACCAACTGCTAACCACTCTTAAAATCGTTAATGTTGAATTTAAATATCTTAAATAACTCCCATTATATTCATTTTAACTAATGGGTTTGGACTCATAATTTATATGGACCTAAAATCACCATTAATATTTCAACCCTAACTTAACTCTTCTGATTAATGGAAGTATAAGGAAGAAAGGAAGCTTATTATATTTACCTTAAGTGTTAGGAAGCGTCTAACTATCTTTAAGGGTCTTAATATGCGTGTCCTAGTAGAATCAAGTTGTGCCTCACATTTTCATTCTCTTTTCTCTTTTGAATTTTCAAAGACACATGAATTGGTTAAGTCAGATTTTGGGTGTAGGCCACGGCGCACACAGACTTTCACCACAGTACATGACATAAAGAGGCTCAATTCACGCCTGATTGCCTCTATGCGCCACAGCAGATTGTCCATAAGCTACGGCATGTGATACAAATGACCTTTCTCTTTTTTCATTTTTCTTTTTCTCTCCTTGCTCGGATGGCCCAACTTCAATCCATACCCACATCTTAGGTTGAAATTAAAGGCAAATACACTAATTAAAATTCTTTAACCACAAACTTATCAACTAATTAATCACTCTTATTAAACTTAATTAATTCAGTTTAGAAAACCAGATGTTACAGTATGCGATTGAGTAAAACTTCTTAAAAACCAAAAGCGTGTTGGGGTGAGCTTTGGAATGATTAACTAATCTCTTCCTCACATAAAGCTCCTTGCTTCAGTCGAATCGAGATCGCATAAGGCTGGCCAAAAAAGAATCAAGATCGTGTAATAGACAAATAATAATGCATTAACATTCTTATTCGGGGCGGCAAAATATAAAGGGTAAAAACTTCTCCAAAGGAAAAAATTAACCTCATACTCTGGACGTGTCACTCTGTTATTAGATATATTAATATTTAATTCCAGTTTTTGTTTCATTGCCCGCTGGTTTGCAATGTTGTAAATATTATATAGGGTGATGCACGTTGGAATGAAGCCACTTCCTTTGGCTGCACGAAGCTCGGATTCAACAGAAGCCCACCCGTTGACGCGCAGAGCTCGTTCTATCTTCTCAGTACTCACCCCGTCGATGTCAAAATTCTTGAATTGAACAAAACGAGAATCTTAAAATGCCTCTGATTTGAACTCTTTTGAGGATTAACAATTATGAGTGCTTGGTCGCCAGAAGACAATGGACATGGAAACCAAGAAGGGAGCCGTCTACTAGAGCTCCAAAATGAGTCTCAATCACCTTCATTGGATGATCGAGAGGTCGCATATGAAGCGGGGGAGAAGATCTTTGTCTTCAATTTGGACTCCATTGACGAGGATTCAGCAACGGAGCCGTCCTCGTGGAAAAAACTATGGCTATTCACTGGTCCTGGATTCTTGATGAGCATCGCTCTTCTAGATCCAGGAAATCTCGAAGGAGATCTACAAGCCGGTGCCATCGCCGGATACTCCCTTC